TTTTTTTAAAACAAATCCACAACCCCCCCCCCCCCCCTTCAAATTTCTGTGAACATTTGTTTTGTGCGAACAGAGGAAAAAACGAATGTTCTTAGTATATTTGTTTCAGGTTGAATGTAATATCTAATACTGCACTAGATTGAGCTAAATAACATAAGATATAAGTATTTATTTCCTGTGCTCCTCAGCTCTATCTAATAGCCAAAATGCAGTGTGCAGGGGCCAAAATGCAGAACGAATGTTCACAGAGATTTGCAAATGCAGGACAAATAGCTCTGCAAATCGTTTATAAACAGACTATAATCTAGGCATGATAATGATGATACAAGTCCTTGCTTTTTCTTTTCTAACATAATTGACTGAAACATTCTAACCAAGATACACTGCTGCAAGAAGCAGCCACTCGTTTTATAGGCAGAGCTCCCATTTAAATGTATTGTTAAACTCAGATATAGAGGTAATACTGGTATGCTGTGTGAGTTATAGAGAGCTTTGTGATGCCTTTTTTGAGCTATCACTTAGTCACTGTCAATGCCGAAGGTTGGCATTGCCAACCAGAAATTTCTTGTTGATATATTCATTGGATTCAATGCTTTCTTAGTCACCAAAAAGAACAGGTACAGTATGTAGATCAGGAATTCTAACTGCACTGGATTTTTGGTTAGTAACTCAAAAAGTATTGCACTCAAAGGGTCAGCATGACAAACAGGCAACTAGCATTCTCGGAAGAAGCGGTCAGCAATGACAGCTCACACATTTGTCTTTGATAGTTAACTTCAGTTTAACTGTAATATTCAGGGGGCCAGCAAGATGCTTCTCTAACTTAACGCTCCTGCACTAAACACACAGCAATTAGTGCCGAAAGCTATATTAGCGGAGTGCTTGACTCCAAATGTGAGGTTCAAATTATTTAGAGTGGTTGTTGTAGTGTGGCAGCTCTCTAACATCTATTGGAGCCTGGTCAGAGTCCTTGGGATAGTTAGCTAATGTAGAGTGCAAAGCTGTGGGAATAGATCCAGATATAGTATTTGTCATTTAGGTAATACAATTATGAATCAACAATTTACAACCAACACATTTCTTGGAATGTACAAGAGTGCCCCATCAACAGGGCAAAAATTCAATATAAGCAGGTTTTTGTATCGTAGTTCTCTTACGTAGGCTATACCTTTATATATTTTCTTTGTTCATCCTGCGGGCTGAATGAAGAAAACATAACAGGTTCCGCCATCCACGCTGAATAGCGTGGATGGACAAATCCCCCACTGCTTCTATTGTATTCTGTCAGTGACCGCTGTCAGAATACACAAACAGAGCTTAAAGCTGATTGTTTGCAGGCTTTGTTCGGCCGAAGATTTTCCAACACGTTCCTTCGGCAAAAGTTAATCTAATGATCGACTTATGCTGAAGTAATGGCGTCACCAATGGAACGTGTGTGAACAGCTTTAGTTATTTTTGTGACTAAGAGAACTACTATAGAAAACCTGTTTTTGTTGTATTTTAGCCCTGATGAAAAGGGACTCTTATGATAGCTTTGGCAACCATTGGCTGTCATCTCAATTTTGTTTCTCACAAATAACTACCGTATGTAAGGACCAATTCTTATGGTTTGGCACTCTCTTCCTTTGACTCCATGCAACACTACCCATAGACACGAGACAAAAGTCACTCTTTCCATCCTGGCAGGGGCGGACTGGGCCGGGGGGCAGGGTGGCAATTGCCCCCCGGGCCTCTCCGATAGTCAGTAGTATCTGTATCGGTGCATCCCTAGTTTCCACCTTGATACATTTTACTGTTATAAAAATGTTGCTGATGGCTCTAGTTTGTGAAAGCTGCACATAGAAAAGTTAACAAATATTTTAATAAATAAAACAATAATTTATCATGTAAAGTTTCATTACTAATTATCTTTCCAGAGAATTGATTCGGCAAGGCTTGCAGATTCTTCGAACTGAGGTGCCTGGAGGCGATACATTTATGCATGAAGGGTTTAAAAGGGTATGTACAATTATAAACAGCACATACACTGTTAATAATGTAATAAGGCAGTGCAATAGCAATGTGCAGCATGTGTAATGTGTAACCCATAGCGCCAATGCTGTATATAGTTAGCATTTTCTCTATAGCTAAGGTCTAAGACTGAGATTTAGGACACAGGTGCTGTGGGGCATACGCCATAAACAATTTGGATTTTCTTCTGCACCCGGAAAGCCCCAACATACGCATGGCACATACCATGCATTGTGGTGCTCTGCATTATCAGAAAAGGTGTGTTTTTTGGTTCATTGGCAGCATAGTGAATGGGCTGCCCTAATGTAACACAGGTGTAACACGTGTTAATGGACTGTTATAGTGTGAGGAGTACATTAAATGCTGTGGTACTATCTGAAGCAAACAGGACAGCAAAGGAAATATGAAATAAACAGATTAGAACACAGTTATGAACCTCTGTGCAGGTCAGAACAGCAGCTAAATGAAGTTTTTGAATGAGGTTATTGTCCATAAGAAGGTTCTATTACTTACTAATTATAAAGATTCACAAACTTTTTTCTGTAATTTACCTTAATTGTTTAAAGAAGAACTCCAGGTTTTGCAGTTCTTGAGATGGGGGAAAGATAAGTTATCTTTTGCACACTACAAATACATCTATAACCCCGAATCAGAGATTCCGAAACATAAGCTGGCACACTTCTGCTCTAATCATACCAATCTGCAGGCAGCCAATTGTGGGTTGAGCATCCCATAGACTAATATGGAGCTGACAAATTATTCCAACTGTCTGTAGAGCAATACACTGGCAGTAGGAACATGTCTGCTTTCAAACTTTACCACCAAACATCTCTGTATCAAAAATGGAGTTTGTAGTCAAGCACTATGGAACATCAAAACTTGGTGCTCACTAGTCCTTGACTACAAGCAGATTTCATAAATCGTGTGACCCTTGGAACCTAGGCCATTGACTTGAAACATTTACTCTCCAACCTAGAAATCTGAGCCCAGCGCTCCAATCTCCCCTCCACTCAAAAGAATGTAGGTAAGTCTAATTAACATAATTATAGTTCATTCACCCAATTTAGGTCTAAAGCTAGGCATAAATCCGGCCCAGTTGATTTTTAAATCAACTTTTGTGCCGGATAGTGCTGAGAGGGCCCATCCACGGCTCGATTTTCAGCTGATACAGCAGAAATATATGGCTAGCTTAAATCTATCCAGTTTAAACCTCAAGTACTTTTTTTAAATAAAGGTAAACCCTAACAATTTCTCTTATTTGCTCTCTTTTGGTCAGGTAAATATACAGTTAAAACCATTTTTTTAAATATCTGTTTTATCGGTTGTTATATTAATATTTGTTATTTATTTGGTCATAAATTCAGAGTTGTACTGTCCTTCTCAAGGAATTCTACTAGTTCCTATCATGGCCTAAAGAACAATTAATGCCTAAGTTCGGGGGATTATGAGAATGGACAGGATATAAAAGTTTAACAGACAACTTGGCAGGGCTGACACCGATTGGGCTCCTGTATAAACCTTCTGTCCACTGTAAAGATGGACAAATACCATTCTCATGTAATTCCTGCCATTAGATGGAACTCTTATGCCCCCACTGTGGCGTTATCGCTTTGTGAACAGAAGGCTTATACATGGGCCCCTAAGTCTTGCAATTTCAGTCCACACAAATGCATGTGGTGTCAAGAAGAAAAGAGAGCTGATGTCATGAGAAAATTGAGAGCTGACTCTGGCAGAGGAACATGTATTTTTTCTATTTGCAGGGTTTTTAAAGGGATAAAACATGTGGAAATGTGCATTTATTGCAAAGGTGTATGACATATGTTTTTTGCCCCGACATGCTCTTTAAATAATTTGTTTCGTGGCGATATAATTGTGTAAAAATATTGTGTTTGATAAATGACAGTTTTTGTATATCATGGTTTAGATGAAGAAAGAAATTCCTAAGTGATCAGAAATTTTCATAACTAAGGAATGTTTAATAGTGGTCCTTTTTATTTAACTGGCAATGCCTGACATCCTGAGAGTAGGTAATACTAGGTTGATGGTATCAGATGTTTACTGCCAATGAGGTCTGGGAACTAACCATGGTATGTTTTAATTTGGGTTAATGACAGGAAGTCAACTGTGTAAAAGAAAAACTCTAATTATGTCCATCTTCATCTTCCATAAGCTCCTAAAACATTTACATACATGTTTTCTGGTGTAATAGCTTCTAATCAATGTATTGGTATCAATCCTACGATTAGTTCATCTCGAATAAGATATTTATCAGTGGAAAAAAAGGTGACCAGCTATGTACTAAGCTAGAGATTCTTTGAATCATGAGGAATGCAAAAACAACCCTTATAAAGCAAAGTCAATATTTCTCTAAAAAGGACAAAAAAATCCTTCCTAATGCCCGACAGTCGGATAACTCCCTGGATCAAACGTCCAACAACTGTAGTTCTTGTAAATATTAGTAGCCATTTATATTTGGTGTATTTAGAAAAACATACAGTCCATTTTTGAAACTATCCACTGACTTAGCTAGAACCAGCACCTATGGAATTCAACTGCACATTTTACTATCTCTTACAGTAAAGATAGTAAAAGTTGCAACTCTTTATTCCACAGGCAAAGCGCCCTTGTGAAAAAAACTATAGGTATTAAGTGCAGGCACCTAGAGGTATCTGTATACACCTGCAACAGCCTGCAATTCCCTATAGAATCCTGGGCTGTTCTGGTCAGGTATGCCCTGGTGGGTACTCCATCCCTCTCACAAACACATTCCCACTGGTGAAGAAGAATGTACGAGGCAGTATGAAGATGACCAAGCAGGAATTGCTGAAGCTTTGTCCTCTCAGAACAAAGCCCTCCGGAACACTTTGTACCTCAGCTGGCCACACGATTTTTGCAATTTTTCCCATTGATTTGATTTTCAACTGCTGCGGTGCTAGCGTTTTGTAAAAGACCCCCCAAACCATATATTTTCTGAAAGCGCAGGCCGGGGAGAATAAAAAGATGGTGCTACTAAATTTGTAGGCCCTGCGATAATTGCGCAAATGTTTATCAAATTCATATTAAACTGATAAAAATACACAATTCAATTGATAAAACACACTAAAATCAGTATCAGTGCACAAAAAAATAATATTTTCCGACTAAATCTAAAAGATAAAACTGTATTGAGTTAATAAATAAATATTTGCAAAAAAAAATTAAGGAACGCAAAACTGTAAATAAGCGACGTATGTTAATCGTTTTTGCGCTGTGTTGGTGTTTGTGTTGTGCTAAAATGATACAGGTGTATATTTAATTGCAACACAAGGTATCACAATGCATGGCAATGCATCACAAAGCTTTTCCATGCGCTGCCACAGTTCAATTAATGTTTTTTTAAAAAGAAAAAAAAGTAATGCACTGCGATGCATTCTAACAACGCAATGCAGCGCATGTACATGGCATAAACCACAATGTGGTGCATGTGTATCTTATGTGTGTGTGGGGGAGGGGAGGTTGTGTTTTTTTAATTTCTTTTTTTTCAATTTTGTAATTTTATTTTTAACCACTTCAAGACCAGGTGTTTAGACCCCCTTCCTGGCCAGGCCATTTTTCAGTGTTCAGCGCTGCGGTACTTTGACTGATATTTATTCCATCATGCAACGCTGTACTAAAATTTATTTTATACCATTTTTTGGGGACAGATAGGGCTTTATTTTGGTAGTATTTAATCACCACTTGGGGGTTTTATTTTTTACTATAATTAGGAAAAATTAAAGAAAATTTTGAAAAAAAAAAGTTTTTTTTTACATTATGTTAGGAAACATTTATTATTACCCAGTTTTTTGGTAAAATATAAAAGATCGGGTCACGTCGGGTAAATAGACACCAAACATGTCAAGCTTTAAAATTGCGCGCACCCGCGAAATCGCAGAAAACTACCATACCCAAAATTGGCCATAGGCGACACTTTAAAAGCTTTTACCGCTCATCAGTTTAGTGTTATCAGTGATTGATGGCCCTAGACTTATTGCTCTCACTCCGACGTTCGCGGCGATATGTAACATGTGCGGCGTAATGGGCGCAATCGTCTTTTTTGCACGTATGCGCCCCCGACGCATGTTTGCATGCGTGTATGTATGGGTGGGGACTTAAAACATTTTTTTTATTTTTTTTAATTCTTTTTTATGTGTTACTTTACATTTTTTTTTTTGGGGGGGGGAACATTTTTTTCCTTTTTTTTCTTTTTTTCCTAAACTTTATTGCTATCACATACGAGGCTAATAAAAACCCCCTATGTGATAGCAAAATATGTGACAGGTCCTCTTTTTGGAGACATCAGGGGTCTCCAAGACCCCTAATGTCACCTAGGACCCCCCAAAAGAAGCTGATGAAGCAGAGATCTGCTCCATCAGCTTCTTTGCAGCTTCTGAAGCTGGAGAGTGACACAAGAATGCGGAAGTGATGTATTATACAACACTTCCACATTCTTTCAGAGAGGCCGTTTCCCGCTCGCGCGCGCCCAGCGAGGGGCGTGTCTGAGCGGACGTCTAGAGACGCCCGCTCAGATCTAGAGAGCTCTGGGGCGGCCGTTTTTTTACTACGGCCGGCCCGGAAGTGGTTAAATAATATTTTCTTTTTTTTCAATTTTTCTATTTATTTTTCAATTTTCTTTTTTTTTAACCATTGGAGGGGCTACGGTGAAATATCTGGGGTCTAAACAGACCCCTGACATTTCCCTTTTGAAATAGAAAAAGAAATTGAGGACACTGCAGCCTGTGTTCTAAATGAATGGAAAGCACTCAGTACAGAGGCTTCCCATTCATTCAGAAACTGTTGATGGTAAAATATTTACTATCAACCAGTTTCTGAATGGGGAGAAGCCTCTGTAGTGACTTCTTCCACCCACTGATAAATTCATGAATGAACAGGAAGTGATATAAATCACTTCCTGTTCATTCATAACTGAGGACACATAGTACTATATGTCCCCAGTTATTTACAAACATTGGAGTGATAAGATGAGGCACAGAGGATCGGGACATTTCACAGATATTTACCGATCTTCTGCTTGGCAACGCACACAGCAGCTGTCATCCTGTAACTGACAGGATGATAGTGGCTCCTCCCCGCCCGCCTCACTCTCATGCCACTCGATCATCGTGATCGAGCAGCTCGCTCCTCTGCCCCTCCGCTGGCCATTTCTATTGTGATCCCCGCTGCCTCAGCCCATACAAGCAGGGGAGAGCAGCGGGGATCCATATAGACACTGATCCCTGCCTGGAGTGGCTCCAGGCAGGGAGGAGAGTGCCGGTGGGGGGCACCTGGAACTTTTGTTAATACCTGTCATCTGCGGCTTGTCAGCTGCTGTTGGCAGCTAATAATTTAAAGGGGATCTTCCGGGGAATAGTTCTGATATAAGTTCATGGTTGCTAAAGCGACCATGAGCTAAAAGCAGAACGGTAAATGCCACCGACATATGGCATACTGACCTGTCGGTTAGGGAATAGTTTTGTTCAGCCATATGCCATACGTCTGTGGCAGGGAAAGGGTTAATTAAAAAAAAAAGAATCCAACATCAGTATTGTTTTCCACAAATGTAGGTCCACGTCATTTACGATGAACGATGCCTATATAAAAAAAGGACCGAGGATACAACCGAACCCGCTGAAGAGTCGCTGCAAAATGACAGCGCTGGCCTGAATGTCAACAAATGGGCGGAGCGAGTTGTGACATCACTGGGCTTGGTCTGCCTATTTGTTGACATTCTGGACCAGCTGTCATATAACAACAACAACAACAAAGCCTTTCCAAATGGCATTCAGGAGCTCCTGAATGCCACTCGTGAGCTCCCGAAACAAAAATTCAGATTTGTTATCCGAATCCCGAACCGAATTGACTTTCGGACCTGAATCCCGACAAAAAGCAAATAGCAAAAAATCAGAAACTAAACTAACCAAATTTTTTGCTGGCTTACATGTCTACTTGGCATCGAATGCTGTTAATAAGGCTATTATCTACTAAAACACCCAACCCCTTCTCCATGATTTGTCTGTGAAGGTTCTCATTCATCCAGGTCATTGTATATCTGTAAAAAATAAGTTAAGGCAACTGGACTTGCTGTATTTTTCTTGAAGACATTTCACTGGACATCCGACCAGCTTTCTCAATTCTGAATTGAGAAAGCTGGTCGGATGTCCAGTCCGGCAATTATTTTTTACAGATGCTTCTCCATGATTGTTTCACCCAGATTTACTTCCCATAGATTGTATGTTATATGCATGTTTTTAGCTTTCAAGTGCATACAAACATTAAACCTCATTCTCTGTCTGAACCCATCACTTGGAAACTTAGTAATTGTAATAAAACTCAGGACTAATAAAAGTGAATGTGACCGATACAGGTATAGGTATGTACCTGAATTTGATCTCATCCTGGTGAATATGCACCTTAGTCTCCCTGATCAAGAACTGAGGGAAAATTCCAGCCATCTAGAAAAATATATTGAATGCACTGTTCCCAGGTTTGTACAATAGCATTATGAAAATAACAGTAAGACACAAGCACTGTGCAGCATTACTAAGCAGGATGCGGATCCTGCATATGTAATAAAATTAGGTACTCCCATGCTCACATATAATTACAAACTATTCATAGCAAGAGGGGTTTTAAAACATAACACTTTGATTATTTACTATAAACAGATCTTACGAGGGCCCTGAGTAAATCCAATTACAAGTACCTTGCAAGAGAAGTTATACTCACCTAGCGCTAAGTGGTTCCAGCCTCCAAACCCCACATCACTGCAAATACAGCAGTGACCTAGGAGTCAGAGGATGGAACCAAAGCACGCAGTGGGGGACACAAGCATCTTCAACTCCAAGAAGTCACTGAAGGTGGCTGCAGCCCCTGAATGGTGGGAAGACAGGGTACATGGGCTTTTCCCTTGCCGAGTCCATGCCTACTCCA